GAATTCGTTATGACAAGTTTTGACTGTATATCCCTTAAAAAGTTTCCTGATGTGGCTTGCATTTTTTTCTAATTTTTATCATCTTCTTTTGTATTATTTCCAGAATTGTTATCAATTTTATTACTATTATTAATGTCAATATCATAACATTCTTGTCCTAAATAATATTTTTATCAGCTTCATTAACTTCACAATAATCATGAAAATAACTATTTTTTGAATTATATTCACTTTCAAATTCATCTTCAACAAAGATATCTTATACTAAATCTCTTGGATCATAATTATTATCAGAAAATTCGTAAAATTGATTCATTTTGATTAGCTTTGACTATCGTGTGATATTTTAATGAAGAATATTAAATTTAAAGAAAAAATTTTGTTTTTTAGAATTGTTTATAATATCTCCTTTTCGTCACATTTCCTCCTTTTCGTCGCATTTTCTTCTTTTCGTCACATTTTACCACATTTTTACCATTTCGCCAAATGTGATGAAATTAACAATGATTGAATAATTTCCCGCCTACAAAAACATTTCGTCAGGTATTATTAGTATGATTATTTGATTATTGTAATATTTACTATTAAAAATTTAAGGTTTGCAGGTTCTAACGCGTAATTAACATTGAACGAATTAGATAAAGAGATTATGTAAATCAAAAATGTACTATTCCATAATTTTATTTTAATATACAATAGCTTGCTTGTAATCATGTTTTGAAAAATTATAAACAGCTTACGTTACACGCATTATTAATAATAAATTTTAATATTTACTATTAAAAGTTAAAGTTTGCGCGCAATTACCATTGGACGAATTAGATAAAGAGATTATGTAATCAAAAATGGGTTCTTCCATAATAGTTTTTTATTTTAATATACAATAACTGCCACAATCGTGTTTTGAGAAATAATAACAAAGAAGAATAACCATCATCAATTTGATTTTCTTCGCTTTGGCCCATTTGAGATAGACTTGAAGTGTTGGGATGGGATAAGATGGAATTAATACCAATATTATTTCAAATGTACGAGATTTGGCCGTTGACACATCATAGTCACGATGACGTTTGTTTGCGGGATAAGGGTTGGCACTGTATTCAATTCATTAATAGCGCCATTATTCATAAATATGCACCACATTCATTATACTATTATTATTATCAAATATTTTGTTGACAGTCAACTAATTGGTTGAATTCTCCCGGTGACAACTATTCGTTATCTTCAGGTAAAGAATCGGATGAACGAAGGTAAAAAAAAGAAGAAATGTTAGTGGTGATAATGTTGTCAATGTTAATATTTCTCATCCGTCTCAATATCAGTCAATAAAATTGCAAAAACGAAATTTGAAAATCGTCCTTTTTCTCGTTTGAACTTGTTTGAATGGTAATTGTGGAAAGTAAAATTTTATTAAATTCGCGTCCTCTAAATTTGTTCATACGGCAGAAGCTCTATATGAATAGGTTTTACCTGGAAAAGTTTTTTAAGATATTCTCATGCAAGAATTTTTGTCTTCTCGGGGATTTTTTAGAAAAATCTTTATGAGGTTGAAAATTAATCTATCTGTATTTAGTTTTAAAGATAAAATTGGTTTGATTTGTTTGTATTTAATCAATCAATTAATTTAGCCTATAGATATAGATATTTATTTAATAAGAATAATTAATAGATATCATAATAAGAAATATGGTTATGATTATCATTGTAAAATTATAAATCATACAAACTTGTCAATCTAGGAATAATTTTTACAAATTGATGTTCCTAAATAACCAGTAAAGTTTTTATTCATTGATTGATTTTACATTAATGATAAATACGTGTTAAATTAAATAAAATATAATCCTGTTCTGATTATCTTAATCATCTACTTATTTCCCTCGGATGAATGCTTTTTTTGCCTTTTTTTTTGTAGTTGAGAACGATCTTGAGGACGAGGATCCCTTTGATTTTCGTGTCGTTTAAAAATTTTTTTTTTGAAAAAAAAAAATAATTGTCACATTAGGGTCTCAAGCACGTTTTTAATTGATTTAACAGTAAGCTTGGTTTTTTTTACAGAGGAAAGTCGCTATTTCCGAGAGTTCCTGTTCCATATGAAGTTAAATTAATAAAAAAACTTAAATAATAGATAAATTAGTTTTTTATTAAAATGTTATAAACTTCCTTATTGGTCATTTTAATTGAAAATTTTATTTTTGTAAAAAAGAATACAGTCAAACCTCGCCACAGCGGATTCATGGTTCCAACCAAAAAAATCCGTTATGACGAGAAATCCGCTGTGGA